ATGGTCGTTGTTTGTACTGGCATTAACATGTTAAGTAGTGTTTAGTGGACTTAATTAAGCATCTCTATTACTGATCACTGCACATCTATTTATTCCTAGATCTGCAACTTTTATATTTTCACATTAAAAAAAATAAAAAAATAAAAAAAAATTCTGTTTCAGGCTCTTTTCTCCCAAAATACAAGATATTCTTTGTTTTTGCTTGATGCCGATATCTGACTCAGATGATCATTTTATTTTACTCCTCCTTCATGGTTTTATTGTAGTCATTGCAACTTGAAAGGCTTGCAATTTACCATGATTCCAACTGTGATCCCTGGATGTTGGAGAAGAGATGGGAGGATCTTAGTCCTAAGGAGTGGATTGAGGTACATTCCCAGTTTGCAGCAACTCACTGGTTTTATTATGTTGATACTTTCGCCTCCATGTTCATGCTCTTTAATGATGTTCGGGACCCAAAGTTCAATGTGATTAAAACCTAGAGTTCTATGCATGCTCAACTGAAAATATAGACATGGGTGACCTGTTATCGGAGTTATATTGCTCATCTCTCTTGCTACACATTTTATATCTTTGTTTATATTGTTTTTTAGATCTTTGAAGATGGTATAAGTGAATCTGCAAATGTAAATGATGATGCTTTGATGTCTTCCTGGGCTCGGGACCATAGCTATTTAGTTTCACCTATCTATGGCGTTCTTCAATATCATCGTCTGGGGAACCAAGAGAGAAGTGATCCCAGTGTCCCATTTGAGAAGGCTTCTCTTGTTCTGAATGATGTTTCTTTGACAATCACTGAGGTAGTTAAACCTGACTCACTGTCCTCTACTTATTGTTTATGTAATTTGTGTTTTCTAATTATGTTATGCTACTTTTCTTAGAATGTGAATATGATGCTTTTATGTGAGGAACAAAATTGAAATGCAATTTTACTCACTTTTTCAATGTTTTTTCAAATATCATTAGCAACTCTTGTTGAACGAAAAAAGCGAATTATTGCATTTTGTGTAAGTTTCTCCGCCACTCAATCTGTATGGTTTTTTGCATGGAACTTCTACTGTTTCCCATCAAGAAAGAAGAAATTCAATAGATCTATAAATATTTCCTGATCTGCTACATAGGCCATTATAGTTTTCCTTTGCGGCTGAACTCTTTTTGTGATGACTCTAATTTCAACAATAAAATATGCCCTTGCTATAAGAAAATTAATCTATGGTTTCTCATGATTGTCCAATCTTAATTATTTCTCCCCATCCTATCAATTTTCGGATAGATGAAATAAAATTTAGGATTTTATTTTTATTTAATATTTCTTCATATTTGTTCAATGCTGTGGAGTGCGCTTTTCCATAAACTTTCTCCTTCCAGGCTCAGTATCATGACTGGATAAGACTTATGGAGGTCATTTCAAGATACAAGATGTACATTGAAGTTTCTCATTTGAGACCCATGGTGCCGATTTCAGAGTGTGCCACTTTGTGGTGGCGTTATGCTGCTCAAGCTGGATTGCAGCAGAAAAAAATGTGGTAATTTGCATGAACACGTACAAATAGATGAGTATTGCTATCTATATTTATGTTTCCCAATGTAGAAATCTGCATAAACTATTTCATATTAATTTATTTTATTCAGAACGTCGAATGGAACCTGCATCACACTTTAAGGAACTATGTATAATTTTGTATGCATGTACTTTTTTCCCCTTAGTAACTTATATATGTATATCCTGACAGTTATCGATTTTCTTGGGACCAAATCCAACGTCTATGTTATCTTCGTCGGCGCTATGTGCAGTTGTATGCTAATTACTTGCAGCAGTTACCGAATCTTGATAATTCAGAGATTAGAGATATTGAGAGAGATCTTGATCCTAAAGTTATTCTACTGTGGAGGTATGTCAAGAAGTATAATTTCTGCGTAGTTCATCGAAAAATGTGATAGAAGTTAAAAAATATTTATGCAAGAAAAATGTCCAGAGTACTTCTAGCTCATACCTGCTTGTCAAATTTATGCATATTGATTCATCTTATTTATTATTATCAAAGGGATGTGGTGTAACCATGACCTGTGTTATGTGTGTTTATACAACCCTTTCTTTGTGTAGCCATGACGTGTGTTATGTGTGTTTATACAACCCTTTCTTTGTTCTTTTGTTCTGTTCACGCATGTGATATCTATATATTAAACCCCTGTTTGACCCCCATTCTTCATAAACTCAATTTTTCCCAAATTTATTTTCAGCCACACATTCTCGCAATAAAATAATTTTTACATGTAAATTCAAAATTTTTCCTACTTTTCAACCATACATTCTTAAAAAAATTACTATTTCAAAATAAATTAATCCCAAAAATGGGGCTCTAATGGGGCTAAGATGCTTATTTTTAGAAGCACTTACTGTTTCCCCTCTAATGTCTGCACGTGCCTGTTATGGCCACTGTTTTTGATAAGTGCAAACTTGAGTTCTGACGTGGTTCCTGATTTTTTTCATAGGTTTCTTGCCCATGCTAAGGTCAAATCTGTTAAGTCGAAGGAGGCAGCTGAACAGAGGATGTTTAGAAAGAGAAACTGGTTTTCTTTTAGATGGTCTGTTGTTGTTCCACTCGTTAATTGTTTTCTTGCAGCAGCTTTTGCATTCCTTTCTCTTTTAATGCTACATCTCTCTCTCTCTTCCCCTCCCTCGTCCCTCCTCTGAAATGGATTAATGGTTTTCATAACTTAAGTTTTAATAATTTCAGTAATTGCACAGAAGTTGTTTCTACCGTTAGCACATGATACAATGCATACTATATATAGATCTCATCATTTCTGGTTGCAGTTCACATCTTATTGATGCCCGTTTGTCATCTTCCTTTTATTGTTGTATCTTGTCACCTCAGGGGAAATCCTTCTGAGGACTCTGCAGAGAACTCCGCAATGGACACTTCATCTCTGTCTGTAGAGGAACGATTGAGTAAAGAAGAATGGGAAGCAATCAATAAAATACTGAGCTACCAGCCAGATGAGGATTTGTCATTACATGTCAGGAAGGATATACAGAATATGATACAATATATGATAATTGTATCAATCAGTAAAGTGGCTGCTAGGATCATCAATATTAACCACACTGAGATTGTTTGTGGTAGATTCGAGAATCTCCATATATCCACTAAGTTTAAACATCGGAGCACCCTCTGTGATGTATCACTAAAATATTATGGATTATCTGCTCCGGAAGGATCACTTGTGCAGGTTTGTTTTCATTCATTGTAATGTTTACAATGCTTCAGAAGAGCAATAGGAGGATAATTTTAGTTCTGTGTCATGTCTCAAAGACTGAGACATGTTTCTGTCTCTTACGATTTGGAAAGCAATAGGAGGATAATTTAGAAATTGTGAAATTATCAATGAAGAATAATTTGTTTATTGCTGTTTTTCTCCTATATGGCGAAACAAGGATGTTTTCTTTTGGAGATGATGAAATTAAATCATTATTTAGAATGAGGAATTGACTTATTTTTACAGTTTACTAGGTTTTCATATGGTTTCTTGAAACCAGTTTGCAAACTCTTGACAAGTTTAGTTTTCATTTCTTATTGAATAAGTCACCACTACACCACATTAAAAATATGGGGAATCAATTTATGTCTTTCGCCTATGTCGGGGCTAAAGAACCCTACACCCTTGAGCTTTTTGGGCATTTATTTGGCTCAATTTGCTGATGCTTGTGTGGGTCTGGAGGCACCAATTATGTGGAAGGATATACAGCACATTCCTTCGAAACTTATTGTGCCGATTAACTTTATACCAAACTCTTGATCGTCAAGTTTAACTGGTTCTACATTGTTTGGATAATCTGAGGAGGTCATTGGTTCAATTACTGGCCAAATCTGTCGAGACAGTTCATATCACTACTTAATATAATCATCTTATTGTATTTAATTTAAAACATTCATGCTTTTGATGTTCTATGTAGGTCTATGGATTAACTAAATTGTGAATATAGGAAGCTTCTAATGTTAACTTGGGACCATGCTAGGGGTTCATTCGACTTTTATTGGTTTTATAAGTTGGATAATATTGTTATCTTAAGTGGAAAGGGATATTTTTTGCAGAGTGCCTACAGTGAGCAGAAGGTGAATGCATTGGCAGCTAGTTTTGTGCACACACCAGCTGGAGAAAATGTAGACTGGAGGCTTTCAGTAACAATTTCTCCCTGTCATGTTACGGTGATCTATTTTACTTTTCCTGATCCAGTAACTTAATCTGACTATTATTTTTAGAAATGTGCAGCAAGTTCTGCTTTCTGTGATTTAGAAGGAAAAGAATGAGGGCATTTTCTGATATTAGTTCATGTAGTGGAAATTCTGTGGCTAACTGTTTTTCTTTCCTCTCAATAGACTTAATCTTATAATACACTTTTGGATATGATACCTATATATTTCTTTCAGCTACCCACTAAGAGTTGGTCTTCAGGAGGTTTTCTCGAGGAAGGGAGAAGACAGCCTTCCACAGAAAACTTACAATATCAAAATTTCTGGAACTTAATTAATTAAATGTGAATACTGCAAAATATCGTTAATTTGTCATAATTGTGTTATTTGCTCAAGACAGTACGAGTACCCCAGTTATTGCACCAATGAAGACTTGCTTACAAAACAAGGGAAGGGAGAATTGCAAACATAACTTTTAGTGGCTTGGTTTTAACAAAGATATATCTTCTACTAACGATACGAGAGAAGATCATAGAAAATGATTTTTGTATTTCAAAATAATGAGCAATATAAATAAAACTACCATACATGACAGTCTTTTTTTTTCATCTTGTACTAACTCTTCATTTTCCTAGACTCACCAATTTATAACCACCTCTTCATTTTCCCGCACTCTACCTATTTACAACTTGTCACTTCCACCAACCGAAATAAATAGGTGATTAATAATAGGACCTTGTTACATGAACATCAAGATCTCTGAAGCACGGACACGCTGTCGGAGAGAATGTGTTGGTGTTCGACTTGTTTCGGATGCCGATATGCCTCTCACACGTCTCTGACTCATGTCGGAGTTCTCTGCCGCGTGTCGGCGAATGAGGAAATGTAGATGACTTGAAGAAATCAATAAGAAAATAGATGGGAGGAAAATGAAGAGGAAATGCATACGTAAATAGTGAATACTTGGGAAAATGCAGACTTTGATTACTGGAGAAAGAAGTATGAGAAGAAAAGAAAAGAAGAAAAAAGAAAAGGAAATGAAGAGATGTGCATGAAAATGAAAAGTCAGTATATTTCATGAACCAATGTCATTTTTAAATTGTTGGGCCCAATAACCTACACATTGGTTTTTTGTAGTTAAACTTTAATTTACATTTTTGTCCAGTTGTATTCTTTAACAAAGAAATAGGTAAAATTTTATGTAAATTAATATTCTTACCATTTTACCCCCTTTAAAATTCAAACTTACAGAAGAAGTTAAAGCCCTTCTTCCTCCCAATATATGAAAAAAATTATTGCTTTAAACTATTAAATTAAAATGTTAAAAAAAATAATATTTTAATCAATGTGTCGGGATGTATCGTGTCGAAACTTTTTTAAAAAATTGCGTGTTGACGTGTCCGTGTCGGTGCTTCTTAGATTAAGATT